GGCCCGTCGTGTTGTGCTCTGATCTAGATTGGCCCTCTCTCGCTCGTGCGCTGAAGTCAAACTTGGTGGTATGGCTTTGCAAGCTACCTTTGGGGTGGGAAGGCTGAGCAGTGAAATGGGTAATTCTGCCCCAAAAAGTCATAGTCGGCCGTATTTGACCGACTTTCCTCTCACAGTTCAGGGGCGGGGGATGGCCTTGGGCCCCAACTGAATCCTGAAGGCACCAGCACGAGGGCTGAGGGTTGTATGTTGGGCGCAATACCCTCCCCCGTCTCCATGCTTTGTAACGGCGTGTTGAATCGTATCCAAAATATCGAAAAGTCTAAACCAGAACGTATATCATCTGTTTTGAAGGCTTTCGTCGATTGACTGCTGCCATTGCTTGACAGGAGAGAGACATGCGGACTGTTATTGCCCCCCCCCCCGCCCTCCTGTTTATCTCTCGTCAGTCCTGTGCGCCGTAATCTCCCCCCCCCCCCCTTGCGACCGATACCGCGCTTCACACGTGCCCGCGGCTATCTGGGTCAGTGACCTAGAAAGGCGCGCCTATTGACCCGGTTGGCCGACGGCGGTGCGGGCCGGCCCAGCAACGGGCGCCACTATTGACTAGCGGCGCTGGTCGGCGCGCTATTGATCGCGCCGGCGGGCGCCGGCTGGGCGCCGCCGCCCCGCCGGCGCCCGGCCGGCCGCTGGAAACAGGTGGCGCCGGTCGCCGCGCCGCCGTCAGCGGTTTCGGGGACGGTCACCACGCGTCGTCAGTGGTCCGGGGGGGGGGGGGTCACCACGCGTCGTCAGTGGTCCGGGGGGGGGCGGTCACCACGCGTCGTCAGTGGTCCGGGGGGGGGGCGGTCACCACGCGTCGTCAGTGGTCCGGGGGGGGGGGGTCACCACGCGTCGTCAGTGGTCCGGGGGGGGGGGACGGTCTCCACGCGTCGTCAGTGGTCCGGGGGGGGGGGGGCGGTCACCACGCGTCGTCAGTGGTCGGGGGGGGGGGGACGGTCTCCACGCGTCGTCAGTGGTCCGGGGGGGGGGACGGTCTCCACGCGTCGTCAGTGGTCCGGGGGGGGGGGCGGTCACCACGCGTCGTCAGTGGTCCGGAGGGGGGACGGTCGCCACGCGCCATGTGCCCACCTTGCAGCGTAACGGTGCCGGCGGCCGCGCGGTGGCCCATACCGGTGGGCAGCATCATGTTCCACACTCGACACCGCCGCCGATACGAGGTCGCCGGATCACCGGCGAGGTGGGCAGACGTAGAGGCCGTGGGGGCTGAGGTCAGTGTCGGCGTCGTGTGGTCGTTATGAGCTGGCGGGCGGGCTCAGATCCGGTCTGTCCAGCTGAATGGCTACAGGCGGCAATGCACTCGACTTCGGTGTCCAGTGGTGCAGTGTTGCTGATTGGTACTTTCAAGGGTGGTAATACACCTGTCGTATGACGTGGTAATTCACCTGTCGTATGACGTGGTAATACACCTGTCGTATGACGTGGTAATACGCCTGTCGTATGACGTGGAGTACGTGGAGCAGATACGCTCGCTGTATCCGCTCTGTATCCGTGTATCCGCCCGCTGGGCGTGAGTCAGCTTCCGCCAACGGTCGACAGGTTGCGTCTTCGGGCCGCCGTTGGGTGAGCGGGTGCTGTATCAAATAGCTGTCGTGTACGGCGCGGATGCTCCCGAACCCAGTACTGCTTATTAACGTGAGTGTAGAGGAAGATTACCTACCCTTGTCTTTTTAACGGCTGTATTTAACATTTTCATGGTTTTCTGATGCCGTAATGCATTGGATTCGCTTCAAGTTTCTTAGTTGTACTTGCAAGGTGCTTATATGCATACTTAATGGTCAGGATTATCAAAGGACCGTGCAATATTACATCGAAACAGGCTCGGTTTGTAACACAACAGCCCGAGTGTCTGAAGTGTCGTAGGATCTTGCTTTTGCGAAGCAAAATGCACAGACGAACGCCGTCTGTCTCAAACGATGGCAGTGGTGTCTCAGGTGCTGGATTTATTCACATTGCTAATGCATTGAAAACCATGCGCTGATGCATTTGCATCATGCATACACTTTCGGGTTGTGCTATATGACTATTCGTTAATGTTTTAGTGTCGTCTGCTAATGTGGTGCCTGGTGAGAGTCAAGGAAATCATGGGGCCCAAGCCTTTACAAGAAGCACAGAACACCAGCCGTCCTCTTCTGTTCGTTTCTGTGCACACAGGGCTCGGCTTCCGGCTGCTGCTATTGTCGCTGGTCGGTGAGGTGGCCCCGCACTTGCTTTGCTTCATGAACCGTCCTGCGCGACGTACTACGTACTGCCACTATAAGATGCCCGCACATACAGACAAGGTAGTGAAGCGGTTAACGCATCCGCGTTAACCACTGCGCGTCTGGAAAACGAGGGATACGGGGTTCGATTCCCCGCGCCCGCCCTTCCTGCAAGGGTGAGAGGCAGGCGACGCCATATAGCCTCAGCAGCTGAGTGCGCCGTAAAGCTCCAATGACACACCGCATGCAGACTAGCCCCGGGGCGTGCCCGGCGTTGCCCTGTAACACGCTTGGCGCGGGCCCGTAGCGGGAGCACGTCTGGTGCGTCTCTCCTGTCGCGTGGTCCTGGATAATTGTGCCCACGTGGTCGGCATAGTACGTGCCGGTTGGTGGCGGCCGTTGTTTGTATGGTCGGCCCGTGTTTATTGTGATCCGGCCGCCGCGGCCCGGCTGGGCACCGCCCCGTGCGGGCCATACGGCCGCGGCCCGCCCCGGGCCACACCGCCGCGGCCCGGCTGGACACCGCCCTGTGCGGGCCATATGGCCGAGACCCGCCCCGGGCCACACCGCCGCGGCCCGGCTGGACACCGCCCTGTGCGGGCCATATGGCCGAGGCCCGCCTCGGGCCACACCGCCGCGGCCCGGCTGGACACCGCCCTGTGCGGGCCATATGGCCGAGGCCCGCCTCGGGCCACACCGCCGCGGCCCGGCTGGACACCGCCCCGTGCAGGCCATGCGGCCGCGGCCCGCCCCGGGCCACACCGCCGCGGCCCAGCTGGGACACTGCCCCGGGTGACGCCTGTCCCGGCCCAGCGGCCACCGTCGGCCGCCGCCGGCCGGCACAGGCGTCACACCGCGCCCCTGACTGGGCCCTTGCGAGCAGTGGACGCTGAACGGGTGTGCAGCCGCAGTGCTGGAAATGTCACTTGGCGGCAGTTTTCGTTTGTGAATTTGCGAAGGGTTGGTTGTTTTCAACGGGGGACATGGGCAAGTTGGGATTGGAATAGCCATCGTTTCATTGGGGTTTGATGCTGTAAGTAATGTTCACGGCTGTTCTCTGGTGCCGACAGCCCGTGACAGACACACGGCGTGTCACTCTGTACCATGGGCTTTGCAAAATAGATGTCGATAGCTCATGTGTGTTCATACCTGTTCACTTTGCCTTCGATGAACCTGCATTGGTGTTGTTCTTCGTAGCTCTTATCTACTATTTAAGTATCTTACGCAATTACGTCTGGTGTAATCGTGCTTTAAAAGTGACGCTCACTGCGTTGTTACGGGACGGCGCCCAGACATTGCCCTCGGTTTGTTTCAGTCCAGTCGTAAGTCTCAATCGAGCAGGCAAGCAAGGTACCATTTTGCTGGACACTGTTGGCCAATTTTAGGCGGCACACATTTGGATCCCAATATAGCGGTATATATGGATCCCAAAATAGCACAGCGACGGGTGTGGCAATACTATGGGTCGCCATGCCGTATTCCAGTTCTGCGTCGATACGGCTGACCGGCTGCGGCGAGTTTGACCCATCACGCTCACTGTCATGCCTGTCCACGGATGGCCCTCCCCACGCCTTTGTCAAAAACTGCAATTAACGTATCAGAATCGTAGCAGTTGTTCAATTACTGGAAACACCGCTGAGAATGGCTGTTATGGCACGTCACATCAAGCTAAATGCAACGGGCATGCATTCATCAATGTCATTCATCCGTTCATGCCGTCATTCATTTGTTCACTCACTCATTCTGCCCGTCATTGATTGGTTCAAGAACAGGCAGGGAAAATGGACTATGGAGGTTTGGCACTGTCAGCAGTCGTCGCATCATCTGATGACGACTGCACGTGTCGCCAGGGGACCTACTCGGGCGAAGGAGCTTTACTTGATGGCTTGCTTCGCGGGGTTGAGAATGACGTCTTCTCGTCTGAATCTGATGGGGCAAGCCTGAACCGTGTCTGAGCCTTAGTGTGGTCGGTGGTCGGTGCCTGAGTGTACGGGATCTGAGTGTGCTGCTGCGTAAGTCACGGCAGCCCGGGTTGTCCGGTGTGCGTCCTGTGTCTGTTCCTCCGCGTGCGCCTGGATTGTCCGGTGTGTGTCTCGTGTCTGCTCCCCGCGTGCGCCTGGATTGTTCGGTGTGCGTATCGCGTCTGTTCCTCCGCGTGCGCCTAGATTGTCCGGTGTGCGCCTCGTGTCTGCACCTCCGCGTGCGCCGGGAGTGCGGTCCACCCAGGATGCCCTGCGTTCGTCGGGGATGCGCTGTCTGGGTGCAGCCCGGGCGCACTTAAGGCATCGCGTGCCACCGCGCCGCACCCCGCGTCAGCCCGGCGCCTGCCCTGAGCTCCACGGTCGGCGTGCGGCACCGTCTGCGCCGTCTGCGCCGCGCGGTTCTGTCGCGGTGGCAGCCGACCGGGCCGCGCCGGCCCGACGCGCGGCGCCGCCATCGATTCCGGGAAAGGTGGCCGGGCGTCCCCCGCCCCGCCCGGCCTGGCTGGGCGCTGCGTGTGGCCGACGCTGCTGGCCGGCGGTCCGCCTGTTGCGCGGCCTGGCCAGGCGGCCCGCGGCCGGGTCCCGTGTCGGCGGCATAGCTGCAGCAGGGAGGACTGCACTGGTGGTCGCGTCCAATGGGTGGGGCTTCCGGCTGGGTGTGGGAGCGAACCTGAGTGGGGGGACGTGGCACATTCCCCCCACTCACGCGCTCCCCATGCATCTCGCGGCCGTCGCTGACCGCTCTGCTCCGTTACAGGGGACCCGGCGAGGGCTCGACACGGCGGGCTGCTGGCGCGGCTGGCCCCGCCGGCGGGCGAGCCGGCGCCGCCCGACGCCGCCGACGGGCCGGCCGCCGAGCCGGTCGGCAGCTCCAACGGGCCCGACCTGCTTACCATGCAGGCGCGCATCCCGTACCAGTTCCGCGAGCCGGCACAGGCGCCGCTGCGCAAGCTCAGCGTCGACCTCATCAAGACGTACAAACACATCAACGAGGTGAGCCTGGCCGCGCGCCGCCGGCGGGCGGGTGGTGTGTCTGTTGACGCGTGCAGCTACTCGGATCGTTGGCGTCGTCGCGCGGTAACCAGCCGGGGCTAGTGAAAGTCCTCGGTGGCCGGAGCCGGAAGCCCTGAGTGGAGCGGAAGTGTGAGATGGCCGGCGATCTGCTGCGGTCGGGCCTTTCGAGGGGCGGCGCCGGCGCCTCGCGAACGCGAGGCCCGCGCTCCCTCCGGTCACGGCTCGGCGCCCGTCCGGGCGACGCGCCGGCGCATGGCGCGACAGGTGGCCGGGTGGAGGCCGGCGGACGCGTCGCCGCTGGCCGCTCACAAGTCGCTGCGGCGCGCCGAAGGTGGGCCGCCGCTGAGGTGGAATGCAGCGGCCTGCACGCGTGCTTTTACGGTGCGTCCGCTGCCGCTGTGGTGTCGGGCCGCCGGGGAGAAGGGCTATCCGCTTTGGATAGTCGTGAGAAATTTTGTTGTTTTTTGTGCTGTTGAGGTCGTTTTCTTCATTTAGTCACCACTTGACACCAAATCCGTCGTCATTCATGAATTCACTCTACAAGCGCACGCATTGACGGTACACCGGCTGCCCCACCGCGCCCTGAACGCCTGGCCGCCGGATTCCGGCGGACGAGTCCACCGTGGGCGGCGGGGGAGGCCGCTGCCGCCGCGGATCAGCCGGCGTCCGGCGCTGACAGGCCGCCGGGCCGCCCGGCCGGAAAGCGCGCCGCGCCGCCGCGCCGCCCGCGCCGCCGCGCCGCCCGCGCGCGCGGCCGGCGTCTCAGCACGTGACGTCACGGCGGCCGGCCGTCAGCTGTTCGGACGCGCGGCTTCAGCGGGCTCCGCCCGACCCCGGCCGCGTTGGGCGCGGTGCGACGCTATCGAGCGGCGCCGGCGGCGGCGCCGCGCGTGGTCGGCCGCAGCGCACCTGGACCTCGAACGGCCGCGCGCCAGGCTCCGGGCCGGACAGTAGGGCCGGAGCTGCCTGGCGCTCAGCGACGGCCCAATTGCGTCTGTTTTGCAGGCGGTCGGCGGCGGCGCGGCATACTGAGAAGCGCCGCCGCCAGCGCATCCGTCCTGCGGCCAGCGGCTTTGTGGCGCGGCCGGCGGCGCGCCTTTGTGTCGGGTCAGCCGGCCGCCGGCTGAAGGTCGCCAGCCCGCAACAAAGACCGGTCCTGTTGAGGTGCTGCGCCGCGCCGCGCCGCCCGACCGGGCGGAGGCGCCGCTGACGCCGCCCTGACGTAGCGGTGTGACGTCACACACTTGTGACGTCACTGTGTGACGTCACGGGCATAGGCGGGCTCGGCGGCGCCGGTCGCACACCACCTCGGATGCGTCCGCCCGGCGGAGACCGCTGACCTGGGGTCACGACCTGGTCCGGCCCGGCCTGCCGCGGCTTGTGCCGGGTGGGGGACGATGCCCACCGGGCGACGACCTCGGGAGTTGGCGGGATCGCGGCCGGTCCGAATGAATGGTTGTTTTGCATGGGGCGGTGTGGCATTGAACAAGCAGGTCAGTGGCGTCGGAAGTGGGCCAGCGGGCCGCCGGACGACTGCACGCTCCAAACGGGCCGGAAGTGACACCGACCCAATGACAACGAAGCTGCTGTTGGACCTACCCTGGCGGCCAGAAGTGGCGGGTTACAGCACAAAAAAAATGCGTGGCAAGCGCGCGGTGACGTTTTTGATGACTCGCCAGTTTTCTGGATGCGTTGTCGGCAAAACCCACCGCTGTGGGCTAGCCCAGTCATTCGAGATGGCGACTTCGCGCCTGTTTGTTTGCCCGCCTGCAAAATGTACAGTTTTCTTGCGTGCATGACATGGCATGACATTCTCATAGGCACGGAGCGCACAAAATGCGTAAGTGAAAGGTGTGTGCGTAAGGGCATGAAGTGCAGCAAGCCGACAATGCCTCCTGGAATAACCAACGCAAGTCTAAGTAGGGAGGCAGGGGGTCTGAGCCTTTACTTTCTGGCAGTTCAACATTGGTCCCATGGACGTCGATCGGAAAGAAACAACCTTAAATGGCCGCTGTAGTTGAAGCACCCTTAAACCCAGATACTATCGAAGTGACCTTAAATGGCAGCTGTAGTCGTAGCACCTCTAAACCCAGATACTATCGAAGTAACCAGAGACGGCTATCGTGCCCCCTCCCCCAACTTGGGAAGGCTTTCATTGCCCCAGGCGCTAGCCCCTGTAACTGACGGTGAGTAACGGGCGTGGGCAATGGCGGTGTTGCCACTACCCGGGTTAACACATCAAAGCGCACGGGGGGGGGGGGGGGGGCGCAAAATGACCACTGCAGTCGACGCGCCCGAAAACTCCAATGAACAACAACAAAGAACAAAAGCGCACGGGACACCATTGTGTGCTCGCAGGCGGCCCCATGTTTTGGCCAGTTACTGAAGATAGCTTGATGTACGCGGGGAAGATCCGTTTCATCCTCGAGCTGATTGCAGCTGTCCGGCCTTTCATCGTTGAGCCGTGTTCTTGCCCTAGGCTTCAGATGTAGCCGACTAGGTCAAGTCCACGGCGGAATGTTGCCGTGTATCCGTGGCGTGGTGGTGCTCGAGCCTCCGGTTGTAGCGTTCTAGAGTGTAGATCACCTGCACTCGTGAACGTGGTCTGCATTCACGTAAATGCCCGCGTGGTAGGCATGAGGACGAGGCCAGCCTCGGCTTCTCGAAGCTGGTGTTCCCTCGCAAGGACCTTGGGTTTGGCTTCTGTATTTGGACCACTGTTATGGCCGGGCTTGGCTCGGGCTCCGACTTCGGGTCATTTTAAGCGGTCGGCTTTGGAGTTGGGGCTCGGGCTTCTACTCTGTGTCATTTTCATCAGCTGAGTTCAGCTTCGGATTCATTCGACCTTAAACTGCTGACCTAACTTTTGACGGGATTTTGCAATGCACGTCCGACTTAACTTCACAAAAATAGCCTTTTCTTTCCTGCTACCCCAGCCTACCACACAGCTTTTCGTGACTGGGACGCATATATGACTGAAAGTAAAAAACCAACCGGTCCTTCTCAGGACCAAGTAATACCTTACGACCGCCGGAGAACGAGCTGTACGACACGTTGTTCACGTGATAAGTTACGAGACGAGGACGATGGTCTAAAATAATCCCCAGCTGCTATGCAAATACCTGGTCCCAATCACTCCACAAAACCCTACTATTCTCTACTGATCCCACTGAGCTTTAGCAGGCGGAAAAAGATTTTAGTTCCTCAAAACAGCATGGTATACTGAATGCGGTTCGGCCTTCCGCCCCGTGATTTTTAGGTGGGTACTGCCTTGGTTTCGTGTTTGGTAAGTTCGGCTTGGGCTTTGCGTTTACAAAGTCCGAAAGCCGCTGATTTCGGATTCGGCATGTCGTTTTAAGAATTCACCGGCTCCAGCTCCAGCTCCAGCTCCAGCTCCAGCTCCAGCTTCACAGCTTCGAACTTCAAGGTCACTAGCCTCGCTTTCATTTTCGGCGTCAGCCATTGCCCTGGCTTTGGATTCTGCCCTGGTGCTAGAAGCGTGGCCTCGTCCACATGACTGCCGTGCGAGGACCTTCCATTGTGAGGCTCAATCCAACAGCACGGTCGGTGACGATGCAGGGCGGCGCCGAGAAGCCAGCTCGAACCAGCTGTGTGGCGGATGACGGAACATGCAGGAGATGTAGCTGGTCGTCTCGCCAGACGGACTCGCAAGTGACGCGGGTCGGGCTGTAGTTTTAATGAGGAGCCGCCGACTACAGTGCAGCGCCTTGTCGTCCGGCTCTGCCATGGCGATCAGCGGCGCCGATTATGTCTTTGGTTATGGCCGGTTCCTGTTTTGGTTCTGGAGTAGAACACGGGTGGTGACGCGTGACTGTAGACGTGTGGTGCGTGCCGTTGGTTCATGGCAGGGGTACGGCGCCGCCGTCGGTTCATAACGCGAACGTGGTTCCGCTGTTGGTTCATGGCACGGGTGTGGCGCGCTCTGTGGATTCAAAACACGGATGTAGTGCCGCCGTTGGTGCATAACACGTGTGTGGTGCCGCTGCGGGTTCATGGCACGGGTGGGGTTCGTGCTGTCAGCTCCTAATGCGGACGTGAGCGGGGATGGGACGGGTAAGGCGTCGAACAGGTCTGGGAGACCTACCCCGTTCGTTTGAGGTCTTTCGATTAGTGCGGTGTCACAGTTTTTGGTGACCCGTGTTCCAGTTGTTGGCGACTTTTGTGGCAGGGAACATGAACCACCCGCGGCTGTGGCAGCTTATGGCGTACCTCCTGCCTTTTGGCCATGAGACCGACCGCCATCGCTCAGTTGCCGTATTCTCGTTCGTGAAGACTGCGGCTCCTGTGTGGGGTGGTTTTGGCCGGTCTCTGGGCGCCCGAGGTCGGTCTCCGGGGTGCCTGAGGCCTGTCTCTGGGCGCCCGAGGTCGGTCTCCGGGGTGCTTGAGGCCTGTCTCTGGGCGCCCGAGGTCGGTCTCCGGGGTGCCTAGGCCTGTCTCTGGGCGCCCGAGGCCGGCCTCCGGAGTGCCCGAGGTCGGTCTCCGGGCACCCCAGGGCGATCTCCGGGGTGCGGAGACCGGTATGTGGGGCCGGCTGTAGCAGGGGTGTGGGCGGGGCATGTTCGGTGTGCGTGTGGTGCTGTTTGCCGGCCGGGGCTCGTCTGAGAGCAGGTCTGTGCGGCCGCTCCTCGGCCGCAGCCCGGCTGTGACGCACTCCCCTGCTCCGTCAGGTCTACTACACGACGAAGCGCCGCCAGCAGAGCCAGCGGGACGAAGGCGGCCACAAGAAGGAGCGTCGGCTCTACAACGACGGCTACGACGACGACAACCACGACTACGTCATCAAGAACGGCGAGAAGTTCCTCGATCGGTACGAGATCGACTCGCTTATCGGCAAGGGCTCTTTCGGCCAGGTGAGTTGGCAGCCGCTGCCGGGTAGGGCCAGTTGTGTTCCTTGAGGCCCGGTGACCGGAAGGGTGCCGTGTGATCCGGAGTGGTCCATGTGATCCGTGGTGTTTCCTGAAACCTCATGGTGTGAAGTGTGATGTTCAGAGAGCCGCGACCGGCTGAGCGACGTAGGCGACAGGTGGTGCTTTAAGTCGCCTTTATTCGTCCAGCGGCGTGTCGTGAAACCCAAATTATCATCTTCGTCGTTATCATATTCATCCAGCTGGTCGGGTGCGGCTGACAGTGCACTGAAGTACACTAACACTTCATGAGTCGTATGTTAAGTCTTCGGGGCGATTAAGACACGGAAGGCATGGGCTCTTATTTCTGAGTTATGAAGCTACGCTGTGGTCAGATAGACTGGTAAGGGACGGGAAATCGGGATACTGGTAATCTGGCAAACGCCGGCAAGACTGATCATCTTACAATCAGTTTGCCGTAGTAACCCGGCCTCCGAGTTTTATCCCCCATGTCAGCCCTCCCCTAATGAGCCCGCACAGGGAGTCACACGAGACGGCGTCCATCCCTTAGTCATGGTAGTCAGGAGATGGTCGTCCATGCGGAGGTGTCCCGTGGGAATTTATTTCGCCTGGGATGGTGCAAAATGCTCGCGAACGTACGTACGAACGGAAAACGTCCACTCTAGTTTCCTAGAGAAGGGACGTCTTGGCATCGGCTGCATGTATCAGCACTACGCGCTCGTGTGGTCGAAATCGTTGCATTGGAGGCCTTTTTCGGCTGTCCTGCACTGCTACCTTTGTGGCTGGCTGTGACGCAGTTGTCGACAGTGGTGACATGCATTGTAAACAAAAATAGCAGCAAGAGATCCAGGCGGCCGCGGTGATCACCATCCCGTGCGTGTGCGTGATCGGCAGGTGGTGAAGGCGTACGACCACGAGGAGCAGTGCCACGTGGCCATCAAGATCATCAAGAATAAACGGTGCTTCCTCAACCAGGCGCAGATCGAGGTCCGCCTGCTGGAGATGATGAACCGCGCCGACTCCGACAACCAGTACTACATCGGTGAGACGACAAGCGCGCCGCGGCTGGAGTGGCGCCCCCTCCTCCGCCGGACCGGGCGCGGCCGCTGACGTCCGGCGGCCAGCGGCCAGCGGCCAGCGGCGCAGTAGTGGGCAGTGCGTAGTTCTCGCGGTCGATGATGCGCGCGAGCCGGCGGTCGCCAGAGGCCGAGACGCGGCGCCCGCGGCGATAGGTTGCACGTCGGTGTGGAGCGCGCCGGACCTTGGCGCGCGCGGGCGGGTGAAGGCGTGGGCGAGGCAGAACGCGTGACGCTGCCGTCGGTGCGTGCGGGCGGAGCGGGGGCGGAGGCCGTGGGCTTTACCACTGATGCGGTGAGACCTGTCGGCCGCAGCGGACTGGCGTGGGCACGTGTCCATTCACACGAGATGTGCGCTAGCCTCCGGCTCTCTGGGGTGGTATGCGGGGTGTCGACCGTTCTTGCCATGTGCTTGGCAACCGGAGAGCGTGTCAGCTGGTGCCCTCCGTAAGCCATATTCCGAGTAAGCTCGCCCTGCGCCCGGGTGTCTGCCTCGTAGCGCGGTGGTTCGAGCGACGAAGGGCGGAGGTAGACATCGGTAGCTAATTCCGATAATGCCGGCTGAGACAGCCAGCAATCGTCTCGCCGCGTGGCCGCGACTGACCGCCTGTTAGCTGGCTCGTAGCCGGCCGTCGTCGCCGGGCCGCCGGACCGCCGGGCCGCCGGCGTCGGGCCTGGCGACGGCCGGACGAGCCCGGGACGCGGCGAGGCGTGAGCGGGTGGAGCCGGCGCCGGCCCGGTCGTCCGCCAGGAATGTGACCGGACCTGGGGTCGTCGGCCGCGCGCTGCGCCCGCCCCACGGCGGCCTCGCTCATCGACACGGACAAGCGGTCGCCGCGGCGTCAGGGGTCGCCAGCGGCGCCCGGCCGCGCGGGGTCAAGAGTGGGAGCGGGGGCTGGTCGCCAGCGGCGCCTGGCCGCGCGGGGTCAAGAGTGGGAGCGGGGGCTGGTCGCCAGTGGCGCCCGACCGCGCGGGGTCAAGAGTGGGAGCGGGGGCTGGTCGCCAGTGGCGCCCGGCCGCGTGGGGTCAAGAGTGGGAGCGGGGGCTGGTCGCCAGCGGCGCCCGGCCGCGTGGGGTCGAGAGTGGGAGCGGGGGCTGGTCGCCAGTGGCGCCCGGCCGCGTGGGGTCAAGAGTGGGAGCGGGGGCTGGTCGCCAGCGGCGCCCGGCCGCGTGGGGTCAAGAGTGGGAGCGGGGGCTGGTCGCCAGTGGCGCCCGGCCGCGTGGGGTCAAGAGTGGGAGCGGGGGCTGGTCGCCAGTGGCGCCCGGCCGCGCGGGGTCAAGAGTGGGAGCGGGGGCTGGTCGCCAGCGGCGCCCGGCCGCGTGGGGTCAAGAGTGGGAGCGGGGGCTGGTCCCTCGGCGTGAGATTATCCCAAATTGCTTGTCTGCTGATGAGAGATTTGCGGTACTGATGAATGCGTTTTGTATGCCCCATGTGTCTGCGCGACTGTAACGGAGGGCATTCAGCGGTGTCGGTATTTATTTCCGACGGCATAATCTGTGGCAGTCATTTGCTGTGGAGTCACTCACAAGCCCAGAATCAACTCCTTTTCATGCCATTGACCTCCGCTGGCGAGTGCTCTCCGGGCGCGTGATCCCCCAGCGCGGACGAGTGTCTCTCGAGGGCCGTGTACCGAGCGCTTGTGCCGCGGCCGGCCCCGTCCCCGACTGCGGCCGCTCGCTGCGCCCGCTACCGCTGACTGGCGCCCGTGCCGTTGCAGTGCGCCTGCGCCGACACTTCATGTGGCGCAGCCACCTGTGCCTGGTGTTCGAGCTGCTGTCGTACAACCTGTACGACCTGCTGCGCAACACCAACTTCCGCGGCGTGTCGCTCAACCTGACGCGCAAGTTCGCGCAGCAGCTGTGCCGCGCGCTGCTCTTCCTGGGCACGCCCGAGCTGAACATCATCCACTGCGACCTCAAGCCGGAGAACATCCTGCTCTGCAACCCCAAGCGCTCGGCCATCAAGATCGTCGACTTTGGCAGCTCGTGCCAGCTGAACCAGCGGGTGAGCGGCCGGCGCGTGCTGCCGGCTCCGGCTTCGGGGGCTCCAGCTCAGATGTGGATGCATGTGTTCTGGCGATGTCTGACGCTTTTTGGAATGTCTTTGTTTTATCGTAGACAAGTTGAGAAAGTCTTGCGTCCGTCGTAAGGCGGCACGCACGCCAGTGTACATCAGCGACTGTGCCATAACCGGCGAGGCCATGCAGCGCGCTCCGATTCACTCCGATAATTGCTAGCTGACATCAGTCCGGAGAACAGGGCATCGCTACTGAGCGTGGACTCCGGTCTAGAGTTCCGTACGGTGGCCAGCTGCCGCACAAGTGCACAGTGCCTCTCATCTGACGCGCCGCACCCCGCTCGCCAGATGTACCAGTACATCCAGTCGCGGTTCTACCGGTCGCCGGAGGTGCTGCTGGGCATCCCGTACGAGCTGGCCATCGACATGTGGTCGCTCGGCTGCATCCTGGTCGAAATGCACACCGGCGAGTCGCTCTTCAGCGGCGCCAACGAGGTACGTCGAGCCCGGCGACCCCTGGCGCCTCGCGCCGCCCGCCTGGGGCTGCCGTCCGGGACAAGCTGCGACCTCCGGCGGCCGACGTGACGCGGCCGGCGACGGCCCGCGGTGCGGTTGTCGGCTCGCCGGTTACTGTCGTGTGACGCGGCCGGCGACGACCGCGGTGCGGTGTCGGCTCGCCGGTACTGTCGTGTGACGCGGACGGCGGCGGCCGCGGCGCGGTGTCGGCTCGCCGGTACTGTCGTATGACGCGGACGGCGCGAGCCGTGACGCGCTGTGACGCGGACGGGATGGACCCTGACGGAGCGCGACGTCGCCGATAGCGACAGCGACGCGTGCCAAGCTTCGGTGGCCGGTGGGTGGGCAGCCATGTCGCGCGGAGCGGGCGTGACGCACGGGGAGCGTCGCCTTGAAGGTACGCGTCCCCAGCGGCGCCCAGCTGTGGAGGCGGCTGAGCTGTAATGTGGGTGTGACACGACGGGGCTGCGAGCTGTGACGCGGGTGTGACGCGACCAGGTCGACGGGGCCGGCTGAGCTGTGACGTGGGTGTGACGTGACAGGGTCGACGGGGCCGACTGAGCGTGGTGCCTGAGCCGGGTTTGTTATGGCGGGCTTACGCGTCGGAGCGGGGCCGTGTGAATTGTCGAGCCGTACAAATGGTCGCTGACACTAGTATTGCAAGTGTGTTTCAGTTTCAAAAAGCATGCGGCGATCGCATCATGGATCGCCGCGCCCTATCTAGAGCAGTGTTTTACGTCAATGCTGTCCCTATTTACGGGGAGCGCCTGCGTGCCATGCTTTCAGTATCAATGATGAGCATTGAAGTAACCGGTAGTCAGATCATCGTGAGAATGAGGTCATCAACGATGGGCACTGTATGACAGTCGTGCAGTTGATGCGCCCTAAAGCACAAATAACCATCCAGCCAACCGAGGCCATCGCGAACAAATCTCCACCTTTACCCGTCCTGTGTTAGCCGCCTTCTGACCCCGACTTCCGTCCGGCAGGTGGACCAGATGAACAAGATCGTCGAGGTGTTGGGCATGCCGCCCAAGGCGATGCTGGACCAGGCGCCGAAGACCCGCAAGTACTTCGACAAGCTGCCGGACGGCACGCACGTGCTGAAGAAGGGCACAGCGGAGAAGTATCGGCCGCCGGGCTCGCGCAAGCTGCACGACATCCTGGGCGTGGAGACGGGCGGTCCGGGCGAGCGCAGGCTCGGCGAGCTGGGCCACAGCGTGGCCGACTACCTCAAGTTCAAGGACCTCATCCTCAAGATGCTCGACTACGACCCGAAGACGCGCATCACGCCCTACTACGCGCAGCAGCACAACTTCTTCAAGCGCACGAGCGACGGCAGCACCAACACGGGCGGCTCGAGCGGTACCAAGCCCGGCGCTGGAGAACGGCGTCGCCAGCCCGGCCGTCCGGCGCGCGCCCGGTATGTGACGCCCGACGCGTCCGGCGCCGCGGCGGGCGCTCCGCTCCCTGCCCCGGCGCTCGGGCTGTGGGAGGGGAGGGGGGCAGTCACGCTTGCTTCCCCTGTTCCGGCCTTCGGGTGCGGTTCGACCATAGCTGTGAACGTATCCTGTCGCGCCAGTGACGCGTCGTTATCAGTGTTATCAGTACGCCGCATGGATCGTTTCTATTCTCTCCTCGTAGCGAAGCGATTGTGTCTTGCCGCTCTGGGCCGGCCGTGTCCGTTCTCCACGCTTCGCGGCGTACTTCTGAACCGCTGCATGCGCCGATCGTTCGCTTTCCGCTCCCCCCGTCCAGGCCGTCCCCGTGTCCTTGCAGTCTGAAAGGCCTGTATTGGTTGTCTTGGTGCCCCCCTAGCAGTGAGCCAGCGGCCCGTTTGGTTGCACGGGCGGCTCCCTCGTCATTCGCCACATATTGTGTTGAAGTTGTCAGTGCCTGACGCTGGCAGACATATCCGTTGGCTCGTGCGCCGCCCGCGGTTGCGGACGCCGCGTCTACCGGGTGCCGCGGTGCGCCGTCCGCGCTGCCCTTCCGTGCGTCTCGGCCGCCGAGCGACCCTGCTGACGTGTTGTGCCCGTTCGCAGGGTCCGTCCGGCGGGCGTGCGCGCAGCGACCCCACCCACCAGCACGCACACGCGGCGCTGCTGCAGGCCGGCTTCTGCGCGCCGCCGGCCGCCGCCATGGAGTGCGAGTCGCCCGCTGGTGTACCGGGCCGGCGGCGCGGCGCCCCGGCTGGCCCGCCCGCCCGGCTACCACGGCGCGCCGGCCGCGCCGCCGCCGCCCCGCCAGCCGCCGCCTACCCGCTCACACCACCCGCACCCGCACCACGCGCACCACGCGCACCGCTTGCGAGCCGTGGAGCCGGCGCCGCTCTCGGCGGCCGCCCGCTCGCCCGACCCGCTGTACGTGAACACGGCGCCGGCAGAGGGCGCGCCTCAACATGCAGCTGGCGGGGCTACCAGCCGGCGCCGCCGCCGCCCGGCGCTGCCGCCGCCGCCACCGCGCACTACGTGAACGCGGGCTTCCTGGTGGGCGCGGCTGTCGCGCCGCCGGCGAGCACCGGCGCCGCGGGCGCGGACCCGGCGCGGGAAGGAAGCCCAATGTTGGGCGTGTGCGCGCAGCCGAGTCCACTGGCGAGTCATTGATGCTGAGCGCCCGCTAGCAGGACTTGGGTACTGTGTCCGCGGCCGCCCGCTTCGGCCGCCAGCGTTGGCCCGCCCGCGCCGAGCGCTCGCCCGACCCCGCACCGCCATCGCCATACTGTACATGCCGTGTCTCGATCTCATCCTCATCTGGGCCGGTGCGCTGCGGGCTGACGGGGGCTGGTGGCGCCGCCCGACGGCGAGACGCGCACTGCGACCTCGGCCGGGCGCCACCCGATTATGAAATACTTGTGATACGTATGCGTAGAAAGCGTGATGACGGCCACTGCCTGGAGCCGGTCCGGCGGGGGCGTCCCCGGGGCCGGCAGCAGGGAGCGTACAGCATGGGCGGACTAGAGAGAGAGAGCGATCGGGGTGACCCAGCGTAGCTAGCTACTCATGTTTCAGTTCCTAGAGGGCGCGCGCGCCGCCGTCGCCTGGCGCCGTTTTACCACCATCGGACGGGTTTTATGTGGCGGTGTCGCCCGCCGCCTCCGCCGCTGCGGACGGTCTGACCGTCCGGCCGCCGCGTCACCGGGCGTGGCGAGAGCAGGGCGCCTAATTGGTCCTCCCCTGTACCGACGGCCGGCACGACTTTGTTATGCAATCACGCGCGGAACGGTTATTGTACATATTTCAGGAATACAAGGCATGAAATGCTGGCTATCCGACGAGTCGAGCAATTGTTTTCATTCGCTCGGAAAACGATGTGCGGTTTTCATGTTAACCCGAATTTGGACATCGCAATACTGGGCGAAGTGCTCTGACCTAGGCACAACGGCGGCGGTTCCATGACCTGGCTAGACAGAATTAAGGATAAATGCAGTTAAAATTTCTCTAGTTGGAAAAAGGCACAGACAAACTGGTTGTTATACCCAGTTAACTGATTGTTATGCCCAGTTGTTCGGGTCGCGGTTCTGTGTGGAACGGCCCCAGACGCATGGTACGCAGATAATGGCGCAGCGCCTTCGGCAGTCATGGGAAGCATCGTATGTCACCAGGAGGTGCAGAATTGGGAGAGACAGGAAAGTTGATCAGATCTTCACACCAGCCGCTTCAATACGCCGCAGCCAGAGCAACGTTTAGGGCTTGGTTGACTGCTATGTTTTGACAAGCCACGGCACAGCGACGTTGGAATCCGTGATACCAACGCCGGACAGCCACAGACAGGTTCAGGTCATGCTATGTTTTGACAAGACACGGCACAGCGACGTTAGAATCCGTGATTTTAACACCGGCAAGCCATAGACAGGCTCAGGTCGAGTCAGGTCTTGGTGGCCTCTAGCTCAATCTGGTGGCGAAATGTCTTCAGAATAGGACAAGTTTTTGCGTATCTGGCTTCACAAGATGGCCGTCAAAATGCAGAACATCCGATGTGTGATGGCTTCAGTATGTATTAAAAATAAGGTAAAATAACCTTAAAATTTTTAATTTTAAATGTAATGAAAATGTCTAAATTTTTGACAATGATGTATCGAGGAGTGTACTGATGACATAAAACCTGACATTGTACAGTTATGACGCATGTCTTACGTTAAAAGCATTTTCAGTTTTTATATCTCGGCATGGCATACAGTTCTATTGGATTGGCGTGATGTTAAGTTTATCAGCTTTCCTTGTTGAAAGCGCTGGTGAGTGTACATAATTGTAAATTTGGTTGTGAATCCATGTATTGAGCTCCCAAGCATTCCAGCACATTGGCTTTCACAGGAGACCAAGGACAGGAGCTACCGGTCTATTGTGCAACCAAGTACACACTGGCACGCTTAGGGTAGAGCCTGTACAACAAGGTGTACTTGGTTTGGGTACTTATCACATGAATTATCAAACTGAGAGGTTTATGTTGCAACTTATGTTAAGTGCCCGTGTCTTTGCCTCTGGTTCCTGAAGTAAAATTATAGGGTACAAATTACATACCATGTTAAAACAACAGCATGTTATGTTTCCCACCCATCTATAACCTCTTCCTGCAAGCTATTCATGTCATGTCAAGGCAGTGAAACATCAAAACCTTTATCAGCCTGGCCATTTGATGGCCTCAGAGGCACCAGCATGGTTCTGTCACTTGTGCCTAAATCAACAATAATTGGCTGGCATGGTGACTCCAGAGGCACCCAAGTAGACTGCCCCCGCTGAATTTGACCTTGTTGGTGAGGGTAATAGGGGCTACCTCATTCGGAGTTCTAGGGGCTCTGGGTACCCTACCAGGACAGGTAGCACCATAGCCACCACAGCATGATGGAGCTATGAGCCATCCTTCTCAGACTTGCTGGCATTGAAGGTAGGTTAGCTGGACCAGCAAATGAAGATGCAAACAGGGGATGCTTGACTCAATGTGATTCCAGCTCCTCAGGACCAATTTGACTGCATAATACTGCACAGTTTATAGGGAGTCAATGTATGAAGGTACTAAGCACAAATGCAGATCAGTTCCTTAGTAAAAGGAATGATTTGTGGATGTTGACTTATGACAGCAAGCCAGATACACTTTTGACCCATGCCCTCCCCAAAGCCCAGAAGCTTCCTATTTCACCATCACTCCCATTGATATATTGGTGCACTCTGTGCACAAACTTAAACCTGTCTCTGGCCAACTTGACATGTGGTGGCCAACCTACTAAATGTCACTGAACATGCATATGGGCCAAGTACCCTGGAGTGAGTATGGATTAAGAGGGCCTTAGGCTGGAAGGACATATTGATACTTGGCTGCATATACAGGAGTTTATCAGGCAACATGCAAGGCAGTGTGCATCGATTGGAGGGCCTTACTCAGAGAATGTGCAGAACCCAGTTTTCTCACTTGATGGTTTTAGGTGATTTTAACTTGCTTCAGATTGACTAGGGAACCAAGCAGTCATCAGCTCCAGAGAGTCATTCAACTCACTCACTGATAGAGACCATCCAGGGCCATGTTGTGTTTCAGCATGCCCAGCAGCCAACAGGCTACTGGGTGGGTAAAGCTCCAAGTGTTCTGGATCTCATATCCATGGGTAAGGAGGGGATGGTCAGCCAAATGGAATGCCTGTCTGGACTAGGAAGTAGCGACCATATGGTCATAAGGCGCACATTGGTTTGCTACTCTGGGCTGTGAACTCCTCATCCAGGACAGTTGATGCGTGCAAATTACGGGCACCAGGCAGACGTCCTCAGGTTGATAGACCGGTCCCACACGGAAAACCTCAGTCTCGAAGAAACCTTCAAGTTCTTCGAGGAGAAACTTGCCAGGCTCACTGAAGTTTGCTCTGTCCAGAAAGGGGACCAAACCGACAGGACTCGGCGGAAAAAAGACCAAAGAAGAGCATGTACATGAGCCCAAGGGCTATGCAGCTGAAGAAGAGTAATAAAAAACTGGAAAGACTATGGCGTACATACACACGGACGCAGGATGCTCTAGACAATGCCAGGTTTGTGCGGTGTCGCAATGACTAGGAAGTTTACCAGAAACCTTCGGAACGAGTATGAAATGAAACTGGTAGCAAAGCTCAAAAGAAACTCCAAGGCCTTTGGGAGATGCGCCGACTCAAGACTATGCACAAGGTGCAGGGTCGAAGACCTTTTTGACCGTGATGGAGTGTTAACCAGCAGCAGCCAAGGAAATGCCAAAGTTCTCTGCAAATTCTCCGCCAGCGTTTTCACGGACGAGGGGGCGAGGGTAGCGCGTCGTCCGCGAAAGCACAAGGACACGAGGTAACTGTGGGAGTAAATTTATTTCAAAGGTCCCTCATAGAGCAGCGAAAGAATTTTGGCATAATGACCAGATTGTAGTTGGAACAGCCGACAAGTCAGCCATCTATATAGTCATGGACAAGAAAGAGAATCGGGAGAAGATGGGCGAAGTATTGTAAGACACCTCAAAGTTTGAAAAGATATCCGATGCTCTGAAAGCCGAAGTGAGCAGACACATAGCGAACATGAATACCGTGATTAAGATTATTCACTTTGCCAAAAAAGGGTGTGAGCGTGCTCCAGATTGCGCGTGTGGGAATGTCAAAACTGCCAACAAACCAAGCAACCCAATGAGACCAATCATATCCAAGATCCCTACTCCAACACATACGCTTGCCAAAAGACTAAACGATCTCCTCCATGCATGGACCTGCCCCCTGGATATGGCCTGACGTCAGCCGAGGAGTCATTCGATATTCTTAGAATCAGGCAACCCACTGGTATCCTAGCTTCCATAGATTTTGGAAGTTTATTTACTAATGTCCCCGTGCGCGTGACCATTCGTCCGCAAGGCGGAATATTAAGCGTGGCGCCGTTTGCGCTCATGGTGAATGATATTGGAGACACCCTGCCCGCGCACGCCGGACGTTCGTTGTTTGCGGACGATTTTGTCATTTGTTTTACGGCATCCACTGCGGCATCGGCAGTGCGTCAATTGTGGTAATTTCGCCAAATGGAGCCCCATCAACGGTT